GAAACATCAATGAGAGAGAATCATCGATCAGCTGCCTCTTGTACACCCCCCACTGGGGATGTGCCCGCAATCAAGGTACATGCCCTTGCCAGGAATCGAACCCGGGACCTTTCAGTCTGCAGGCCGATGCTCTATCCACTGAGCCAAACCGGTCCCGGCCTAGATAGGAATTTTTTAAAAACCAGAATTCAAATAAGACTACACATTCCAGTGTTTCCCAAACTTTTGACTTATGTATACCCCTTCTATAATTTTTGTAATGCTGAGTACCCCTCGTACTCATGAGAATGTAGAATTAGGTGCAGCTAAGCACGGTGCAGTGCATATCCCCACCAAACTCTTCCTGTACCCCGGGGGTACACATACCACACTGCATTAGACTATTATTGCTTTTAAAATTTTTCATTCTTCTCCCCTTGCTCCTCCTTTGTTCTATTGCTCCTCCTTTTTGAAGAACCAGGCTAGTTGTATTATAGAATGTCCCACATTCTGGATTGGCTGGTTGCCTCTTTTAGTGTGATATGTTTTTTTAAAATATATTTTTATTGATTTCAGAGAGGAAGGGAAAGGACGAAAGATGGAAACATCAATGATGAGAATCATTGATTGGCTGCTGCCTGCACATCCCTCACTGGGGATCGAACCCACAACCCCGGTGTGTGCCCTTGATCGGAATCGAACCCAGGACCCTTCAGTACGCAGGCTGAAGCTCTATCCACTGAGCCAAATCAGTTTTGGCAGTAAATTCCTTTTTAAAAAATTGTTGTGTTTTTTTTAAATTGATTTCGGAGAGAGGAGAGAGGGATAGAAACATCAACGATGAGAGAGAATCATTGATTGACTGCATCCTGACTGGGAATGGAACCCATGACATGGTTCATGGGTCGATGCTCAACCACTGAGCCACATTGGCCAGACTGGTCATTTTATTTTATCTCCCCCCCCTCCCCCCGTACGTTTGCAAAAAAAAAAAATATATATATATATATAAATATATCATGATGCCATATATATATATGGCATCATGATAATATCCTGTTCCCTAACAACTTTTTGCTTAAAGTTTTGGTGATTTATAACACTTGCCTGAATTTCATTTTGGGGTGCAGAATGAATGGTGATTTTCTAACTCTTTTATGTCTTCTACATTTTTAAAAAAATATATACTTTATTGATTTTTTACAGAGAGGAAGAGAGAGGGATAGAGAGTTAGAAACATCGATGAGAGAGAATCATCAATCAGCTGCCTCTTGCACACCCCCTACTGGGGATGTGCCCGCAACCAAGGCACATGCCCTTGACCAGAATCGAACCCGGGACCTTTCAGTCCGCAGTCCGACGCTCTATCCATTGAGCCAAACCGGTTTCGGCTGTCTTCTACATTTATTAGATGTCTTTTGAAAAGAGTTTTCCCTCATTTACTAAGAATGAATTGCAGTTTTTAAAAATAATTATTGTTTTTTATTGATTTCAGAAAGGGAGGGAGAGAGCAATAGAATCATCAATGATGAGAGAGAATCATGGATTGATTGATTCCTGCAAAACCCCTATTGGGGACTGAATTGGCAAGCTGGTCATGTGCCCTTGACTGGGATCAAACCTGGGACCCCTCAGTCCGCAGGCCATCTCTCTACCCACTGAGCCAATCCAGCTAGGGCTGCAGTTCCCATAAAGAGATAGGGTAAATGCTTAAATCTTTCCTTTCAGTTAGCAATTTTCATAATAAGGAGTTAGTGTAAAAGTTACCTCCAATGTGGCAAATTGTTTCTCTCTCTCTCTTTTTAATATATTTTATTGATTTTTTAGAGAGAGGAAGAGAGAGGGACAGAGAGCCAGAAACATCGATGAGAGAGAATCATCGATCAGCTGCCTCTTGCACACCCCCCACTGGGGATGTGCCCACAACCAAGGTACATGCCCTTGCCTGGAATCGAACCCGGGACCTTTCAGTCCGCAGGCCGACGCTCTATCCACTGAGCCAAACCGGTTTTAGCTCTCTCTCTCTGTTTTTGAGTGTTATTATAGATTACCTAGATTTTCTCAATTCTTCTCACCTCAGATGGATGTCCTCAGCCATCTCTTTTTCCCTTTATCCAAATCCACTATCAACTCGCAACATTTATGCCTGGACTTTCCCATTAGGCCACTAGAGGCCACTAGTTTCCTCCTTGCTCCTATGCTGCCGCTCTATCATAGACTTCGCCATGGACTATCAGCTGTTGTCTCTGTGGTGCTGACGCTGTCCACGCATCCGCTCTAGGATATTGGGAGGCCTTTCCATACTGCGTGGGGAAGGTTTGGACGACGCAGTCGCCTCGCCGGCCCCCGGGCGGTTAGCGCTTCCGGGGTCGGAGGGTGCGCGGGGTTGAAAGCGGGCCGCTCCGCCCCGTCCCCCTCCCAGACCAGCAGAGGCAGCAGCCGGAGCAGCCGCAGCCTGCGCCCTCTCCCGCCCGCCCGCCCTCCGCCCGCCCGCCCGCCCTCCGCCGCCCTCCACCCGCCCCGGGGTCTCTTTCCCCCTTCCTCTTCCACCCCCCCCTTCCTCCTCCGCCCGCCCGCGGGGCCCCCCTCGCCTTCCCGCCCGCCCCTATTGTTCCGCCCCCGGTCTCCCGCCCTTCCCCTTCCCGCCCGCTCCCCTTTTCCCCTCAGTCGCCTCGCGCCTGCAGGTAAGCTTCAAAATTCTCCCTCCGCCCCCGGCTATAGCACTATTTCACTTCTTGCCATGTTTCTTAGCGGGCTCCAGTCCTCGTCACGAGCCCCGGCCTCGCGTAGTCTCGCGTGAGCGCCTACTCCCTCCCTCAGCCAGGTCGGCCATTCACGCGAGGTCCTGGCTCCTGCGCGGCCTAGTAGGCCTCGTGAAGGCCTGCCCCCCTCCCTCCGCCTTTTCCCGGTGACGGCTGCGCAGGAGTTAGGGAGGGCGCGCGCGGTCGGGGGGCAGCGGTGGATTTGCTGGTGGCGGGGGGTGCGGGGAGGCGATGGCCGGCTTGCAGGCCGGGCGGGTGAGCGCGTCTCCCCGCGGGGGTCAGGCGCTGGCGCAGCCACGCGAGGAGGCGCTGCTAGTCCGGCCCCTCCCCCTGGGGCGCAGCGCCCCCCCCCGACCGAACCGTTTATTTTTTCCTCTTAGTCTAGTCGAGGGATGGGAGGGGGGGCTTTTTTAAAGTGGAAAACGCTGGGATGGCCAAGGGGAGGGGGGCTGCGGAGTTAAAGAAAGGGTAGACGGGCCCTCCCAGTTACCGAGTTATTCAGGACGTTCTCTCGGGGTAACGAATTTTGAAATTACAAAATGCCTGTCGATATAGACCCAGACTGAACTATTTATAGAAGGAGTAATGGACTGCCGGATTAACAGTTGGATTGCTGGGATTGTGTACTAATATTGACCTAGTCAAGAGAGATTTTCGTGGATGATTTGGAGTTGGAAATGCACCTTTGTGCCTTACCTCAAGAAGTGGCTTCGGATAGACTTTCAGTTTTCTTGCCCTTTCAAACTTGCTTTATTGAATTTGTAAAGTGCTTCCTATGAGTGGGGATAAGGAATTAAACTGTCAGTTTGTTAAAATGTCTTATTTTAAAAAAGAAAGTCATTCTTTCTTGTAGACTGAACTCTGGCCCGTCGGCGGCAGATCCCCCCTCCCCCCCAGCACTTTTGTTTTTCCATGATTAAAAATTGTTTAATTCTGGGATTTTGCCAGCAATTAATTATTCTGGAAATGGGTGAAGGGTGCTTTGAGGATGCAAAGCCCATCTTTTAAATAATCACACGCTGGGGCAGCTTGCCATATACAGAAGGCTCTGGCAGCCACTTAAGTACTTAGGGTAAGGGCTTTGTGTTAGAGCAAAGTTAAAACGGTGGCTACTTGTAAGAGAGCTCCGTTGTTCAGTTTTGAAGGGAGGAATACTAGAAATGTCCCTGGAGAAATTTTAACAACTTTGGAGAGAGCCTCTTTAAAGCTGCCACTTTTATTTTGTCCTAAGGCGGTATTGTAGGCAAAGGTATATCCTAAACAAATCTTCATATAATCAGTGTTCTAAAACAGAAATGTTAAGAATAGAGGATAGATGGGGAAAGGGCTTCCTCAGTAGGAAAGGCTCATTATTGTTGTTCAAAACAACTACACAATACATTTTTAGCAGTACCAGTTTTATTTTGATAGTAAGAAAATTTAAGAGACTTGATAAAGACTGAGTGGTAACAAAGGTTAATACACAGAAGCAAAGAAATTTTTCAGATCTGGGTGACTATTGGGTTGGGAGAAGGCTATACTTAGTGAATGTATTGAGTCATTTTCTAAAGGGGGGGATATGGAACATCACCCTACATGGAGGGCATTTCAGATGATGCCTTTTTCAGTGAGGTTGTTGATTTAAATCTTTGGAAAATTATTTGATGTCATTTATCAACACTTAAACTTTTAATGATAGACTCATTTCACTTTCTTTACCTAGAAATTGCTGCTAATAAGAAAATTGACATGTGTCCTCTTTAGCCTTCAGACCGAGCTGCTCCCTAACAGGAAAGCAGAAGGTCACTTGCCCTCTCTGTTGTAGTTGGTTAGTTTGAGGTTTGCCCTCATAATTTCCAGGTGTTTTTGTATCCTATGGAAGTTTAATTCTGGTGAAGGGTGACTGGTGCACATTCAGCAGTTCCCCTTAGAACCAACCATTGCCTATTGAAGGAATCTTCCTTGTTCTGAGAATCAGCAGAAACCCCGCCATTAATGAGACGACAAAGTCGCTTTCCATATTGAGTAGAACCTGAGCTGTTAATGGGGGTCGATGCTGCAGTTTTGCTGGATGTATACAAGCCTGCCAGATGAAAAGCTGTCATTTAAAGAAGAGTCAGTTTGAAAACATTGATAGTGGCGAAAATAACAAATATTCTATTTTCCTCTTCTTATTTGGTCATGTTTGTATTTCAGTTCTTGGCTTTCACCTTCCCTCCCCCCCACCAGTGACCAAAGACTTTACCACTCAAAGTCCAGCTCCCCAGAATACTGCTCGACATGGACACCGGTGTGATTGAAGGTGGATTAAACGTCACTCTCACCATCCGGCTACTTATGCATGGGAAGGTATGCACCAGCTTGGGAAATTGGGTCATAGTAACTGCTAGGGGAGGGGCCAGGAAGAGAGGGCATGTATGTGTCTTGGAGCTCATCAGATTAGCACTGTAGGGTGTCTGGCTTTAGCACTCTTCTCTATCAGAGTAGATGAGAGTGTAGTGGGAAAATGGACAGACTTCTCTGGGAAGCTCCACTGAGCAGAAAGGCTTAACTAGAGCCTAGAGCCAAAGACTACGTCATACCTGGATAAGATTTTTCTCATAGAGGTTGTTATAGCTTGTGGTAAGTTCAGATTGCCCCTGCAATTTTGGAAAACTTTAAGGGTGGATGATGTATTTTTTGTTTATTTTAAAATAACACCTTGTATTTTGAACACAAAGATAGCATTTAATCACTCCTGCATTATTGTTCCTTATTGAGAGCTCCACTTACATTTTGAGCAAAGAAAAGAATAATCCCGCCCACTCCCCTTTCCAATAATTCTTAGTTTTTTCATTACTTTGGACAGTTAAAATTTCTTTTCATGATAATGACCACTTAGAATTTCCCGTATTTGACACTAGTTTTCTCCATTGTAGGAAGTTGGCAGTATCATCGGAAAGGTAAGATAGTTTCACTTCCACTCTAATTACTATTAGTCAGTCTGGGTTGAAATAGCAGTTTAAAGTCACTCTTGATTTTTTTTCCTGTTACAGAAAGGAGAATCTGTTAAGAAGATGCGCGAGGAGGTGAGTTAATGGGGAGATTTGGGGAACTGTTACCTTGGGAAGTTAAAAGCTTAAAAGCAAAAATTCTGTTTAAGGGGAGCTTAGGAGGAAGAAGGTCTCGAGAAGTTAATATTTTTCTGGCTTTGTGGTCACAAATAGTATGCTGGGAAATGTAGTTCTAGCATGTCTTCTTTCATCACTTAAGGCAACTTTTCTTTAAATTTATTAATTTTTAGAGAGAGAGAAATGTTCATTTGTTGTTTCACTTATTAATATATTCATTGGTTGCTTCTTGTATGTGTCCTGACCGGGGATCAAACCCACAACTTTGTCACACTAACCAACTGAGCTACATGGGCCAGAGCTTAAGGCAATTTCTGTAGTCTGAGGACAAACACAGAACAGTATTTGCAGTGATGCTGATAATACCTTGTATCAGGATCATATATAGGCAGCTCCTTGCCCATCTTATTCAGGAGGTCTCTATCTACATATGCTAGATATTTTGTCTATTTAACCTTGTTTTTGTTTCTTATCCAGAGTGGTGCACGTATCAACATCTCAGAAGGGAATTGTCCTGAGAGAATTATCACTTTGGCTGGACCCACTAATGCCATCTTCAAAGCCTTTGCTATGATCATTGACAAACTGGAAGAGGTTTGTTGTTCTCCCTCTTTCCTCATTCTCATTCTTCGTGTATAATTGCTTCTAGATACCTTATTGATATCCAAAGGAGTTTTTAATTTTCAGGACAGACTGGATTATAAAAATTGACACCCTCCCTTCCCCCAGCCATTCCCACCCTGGGCAAACCCCCACTGCCCCAGTGTCTGTGTCATTTGGTTATACTAACAGGCATGCATACAAGTCCTTTTGACAAACGGTTTTTAAGGTATGCTGCCACTGCACTGGTAAACTTTGTCCCCAGTTCATAGTTGAGTGAATTAGATTAATGTGCTTTTAATAAATGGCCCTGCTGAATACTAATAAACCCTATAACTATGGATATCTTCCAGCACGGGGTTCAGTTATACTTTAAAAAAAAAATCAATCTGATAATTTTTTTGTTGGAGCTAGGAGGGAGGGAATGTTTTATAGGTTATCGGAAGCAAAATATTGATTTCAGGCTTTTTGGCAGAAGGAAGTTTTTTGTTGTTCGCCAAGCCACCTCGCCCTTCAGGTACTGAACAGCCAGCCATTAACCATCGAGTAGGTCGTAAGTCTGGGCTTCCTCTCCCTTCTGCCATAATACTGCTAATCTCTAATTGACACCACAGGCAGAGGAGAGCTGCTGGCTGCTGCTTGATTGGTCCTTGGATACTTATTGGTGGCTGAAATCTTATCCTTGCCAAGATCAGAAATGTTAACCTTTTGACCTACAAGCCCTGCTAATCCAGAACTTGTGGCTTAAAAAACATTCAGAAAATTTGTTCATAATTGAACCAACTAAGAAACATGTCCTTGACTATAAGCAGTTCCCAGGTCTAAATACTATTTAGAGGTTAAGGCTGGGTAGTGATATTTAAACTAGTTCATTTTCAGACAGCTAAATCGATTAAAACCATGACTTTTTGAATGCAGCATTGTTAGTGGAAAAACTGGGCATTGGGGCCAAAATCGTTTAATTTTAAATATACAGCTTGATAGATGTTATTGGGGCAAGTACTCAGGCTCAATTTCATTACCTGTACAATTACCAAGAAATTAAAGCATTGGTATATAGAAGTATACTATTTAATCTTTCTAGGTTTTAATTTATAATTGTTTTTTAAATTATAATTGTTTTTCTTCCTCTTCAAAAACATTTACTTTCCCCAGGGTGAATAAATAAATAAATACAGGGCTAATTCTGAGGAAGTTTGTAGGTGTTTTTATCTTTTCAGAAATGGTTATTTTGAAGGGACATTTTTGGGCATTTGTTGATGGGGGATATATATAATATGTTCTTTATTTAAGGGTATGTGGTTCTTTTTATGGCATTTATGGGTTCCAAGGGATCTGTTTAAAATTTATATTCAGTCCAACTGGTGTGGCTCAGTTTGAATTAGGAGGTCACAGTTCTATTCCTGGTCCAGAGGGTCAGGGCATGTGCCTGGGTGCAGGCTTGATCCCCATTAGGGGGTGTGTAGAAGGCAAATGATTGATTGATTCTCTCATCATTAGTGTTTCTATCTCCCCTTCCCTCTCTGAAATCAATAAAAACACATTTTAAGAAACTTCCACATTTTAAAAAAGAAACTTGTTATATTTTGGTGTTCTGACTAGTTTCTTCTTGTAGGACATCAGCAGCTCTATGACCAATAGCACAGCTGCCAGTAGACCCCCAGTCACCCTGCGGCTGGTGGTCCCTGCTAGTCAATGTGGCTCTCTCATTGGAAAAGGTGGTTGCAAGATCAAGGAAATAAGAGAGGTTGGTAAACTTTTGTGCTCTTTTTTGAATTAAGTATTGTAAATGCAGCTTTTTCTATTAGCTTTAAGTATGACTAGGAAAAGTTAGCATTTGTTAAGATGAAGGCTATTATTAAAGAAATAGTCCTAGAAGATTACAATTTGACTATATTGGGATGAAAAGTATTGTACAATTGATCTTTATTAATTTGGCAACTTTTCTATGAATCTGCATATTTCTTTTTTTATGTCTAAAGAATTTACAATTTGGTATGTAATAGTAGCAAATATTTTCCTTGGCCAAATTCCTTTATAGCGGGCATGTGGATGGGAATGGGAAAGTATATTGGGATGTAGTGGTAATCTTATTCTCTTAAATTGTGGCGTTCCATTGAATTATGGAAGCTTTTAACTCTATCTGGGAGTTACCAAATTGGATGTTGGAATGAAATTTGAATGACTCCTAAAAGAAAATGGAGTTTTTGAGAGCCTCTACTGTACATAGCAGGAGAAATCTGGGATTTTGATTTTGATTTGTTCATCGATGTATACATAAAATGGGCTTAATATAAATATTTGATTAATATAAATGAAAGGTGGGTGAGATTTGTAGGGATTTTGTTTGATGGCCCACAATTAACATTAGCTGAAAGGAAACTGTCTAGAAGGGCCTTTTTCTTAAGAGCAGGTTAAATTTAGACTGTTATTCAGGTTTATTCTTGGCTTTCAAAGGCTAATTTATTTATAACTGATTAAACAGTCCTAACTGGAATAAGGGAAGAGTGGGAAGGGAAGTAAAAAAGGGTAAGGTAGGAGGTGGGGTGTCTATTGATCTTTAGATTCTAAAGTTGCTACTGGGAGGAATTGGAAGAGTAAGTATGAGCTGTTTTTTTCTTCTTCTTTTCTGATTTTTAAATTTCTTTTTACCCCAGAGTACCGGAGCTCAAGTCCAGGTGGCAGGGGATATGCTCCCGAACTCAACTGAGCGAGCCATCACTATTGCTGGCATCCCCCAGTCCATCATTGAGTGTGTGAAACAGATCTGCGTGGTCATGTTGGAGGTAAGCCCTCAGGCTCATGCTGAGAGTGGGGGGAGGGTGATTCTAGGGGAGACAGCCTAATCTATCTTTAGTAAGACTGGAATTAGGTGAGGCTATTAGAAGCCTCCGGTGGGGGTGGAGGAAGATCCCTGAGTTCATATTTTCCTTTCCCCAGCTTTGGCTTTTCTTATAGTCTGAGCAAAAAATAGAAACTGCTAAGTAGCGGTGATCTTTTGGGTTATATCAGTTCTAGTAGGGTTGGTAGGGGAAGATTCACTGCTTGGACTCAGTGGATAAAAGATGTATCTGGATTTCTGAGATTCTAAGTTGCCTCTTGGATTACAGAATTTTTGCTATATTCAACTTTTGCTCTATTCAACTTTGAAATATTTAAATTTCTGTGTTTTGTGTTATATTCAAAGTGGTAGTTGTATAGAAAATGGTGTTTATGAATGACTTATAAGGTGCTGATATGTGTTATTTGATTAAAGCAAAAATAGCAAAATTAAGAGACAGTAAGCTTTTTTAGAATTGTTATATGGAGTTGGACCCATCTTGGCAACAAAGGAAAGTAGAATTTCCAAATAGAAAAATATTGATGGAGACTTTGGAGTATTTATGGACAGTGTCTGTATTATACTAAAAAGTCTCCAACTAAAATGTACATATGTACACACAGGTTTTTCATATTTGTTAGGCTTATTTGAAATCATGGAAATAATGCCTAAATTATTACAGGGGGATCTGCCTTGATGAGAATTAGTGTGAACTGTGTAGTCCACGGACCATCTTACTACTTTAAAGGCAAATAACTACAGATGATTTCAGATTAGATCTAGCCAAAGACAACGTTGGTAGGTGAGGGGATGGAAATACAGTTTTTAATTTAACTGACCTGTGTGAGCTTAAGCCACACAGCTGAAGCAGCTTTGAAACCTTATCTCTTTTTGTTTTTTTCCCCTCTGACTCTCTCCCAGTCCCCCCCGAAGGGCGTTACCATCCCGTACCGGCCCAAGCCGTCAAGTTCACCGGTCATCTTTGCAGGTGGTCAGGTAAGAAAATTCTTATTGCTGGGCTAGATAAGAATGAGATTTATATTTGAATTGTCAACTTTGCCAGCAGCACATCAGGCCACTCTGCATGCTTGCTGAAACCTGTACTCTGGCCATAGTTTGACCTGCTTTTAGTTTTATTTATTTTTGTACTGGAGAAAGCTGTGAATGCCAAGCCCTACTTAATTTTTAGTAGGCAATGGGAGTTTTGTAGGCACTCGAAGAGGTCATTTACTTGGTGACTTAAGGTGGGGCTTAGAAGTAAGGATTAAATTGCTTCAGTATCACTATCCTCCCTATCCCCACTCCATTCATATTTATTTTATGTATGGGATATTCTTCAGAGGTCTGAATAAAGGTAGCAAAGACTTGGACCTCTGAAGGAGATTCTGGATGGTGTTCTCAAAATTTTGGGGTCCAGAACTTGAGTGTCCTACAAACTTCCCTTCCCCCACTTCCCCTCCCCTACTCCTACCCCTTCACTCCCAAACTCCAGTGTATTTGTCTCCCAGATTCTTAAGCTCATAAAACACTGGTTTGAACCCACATGGCATAACGAATCAGCTGGGATAATGATTCAGTATGCAAGAATAGAAGGGGGAGAGCATGTTGGGCAGTGGTGATGTTGACCTTTGGTGTTTGAGTAAGAACACCAAAGCACCCCCTTGGGCTTCTGCTCCTTCACTCACCTAAACACTTATCCTTGGCACATGGATGGTTTATTATGAAGTTAGATTTTTATGACACAAGCACTGATCATCATGGTAATTTTATGCTTTGTTGGTTAGTATTTGAGGAGTTTGTAGGTTAGTGTTTAAAATACTGGGAGTCAGGTTGGAATAGTGACCTTCATTTTGGTACCTGCCTAAACAAGTACTTTACTCAAAATACCTTTACCCACATGAGGCTGTCCTGTTCGAAAGCACAATTATTTAGTCCCATCTTGTATTTAACGGGAAGCATGAACTTGAAATCTGTCCTGTTCATACTCTGTTGAGTTGGCATAAAACTGACCAGGTTTTGGGGGACTTAGTTTGTCATGTAGTTCTGGGGTTTTCACAAGTTAATCACGTCACAGTGTTAGCTTGAAACAATTTAGTACCTTGCTTTTAACACTAGCCTTGTATAAACTGGTTTGATCAAAGGGCTTTCAATCAGTTTGGTTAGGGGCAGGATAAGCAAAGGCCCAGCCAGAGTTAGTGTAGCAAGTTTAAGCTTTAGGGGGTTTTTCCCTCTCCCCAGGAACTCCAGGTTCCTACTCTTCTGGATTCTACCACTCCCCTTTATAAAGAGTCCCATGCTGTGCCACAGCAATCCTTCCTGTTTACAATTCTTACTTCATTTTCCTTTTTTCCCTTCCTTACCCACTTTCCCTTTCTTACCTATTTGCTTCCCCTCCCTCCCTCTCCTTTATTCAGTTGACCACCCTCTAAAAGCTTGCAGTTTCTCCCACAATTGGCCCTGTCATGGGTTATTCCCATGGGCCTTTTTAAATGGACCAGTTTATGCCATGTCCCACAGATGGACCTGTGTCTTTTGTTTCTTTGTGATAAAGTGGTCTCTATAGGGGTTCAACTTAATCCCTACTGACCAGGAGCTGGCATCAGCTCTGTTGCCTTACCCCTTTATTCTTACTGAAAATAGCCCAATTGTGCAGTGTGAAACCTGCCTCTAGGTAACTTTTTTTTTTAATCGACTGATTGCAGCTCGTTTCAAATTGTGTTGTGAGCTACTTTTTAAAGGAAAAGAAAAAAATTAAACAACTTTTTTTATGTGAATTTCATGCTGGTGACAAGGTGCCGGATTGACAGCCCTGGAGACTGAAATCCTCTATTTATCCACAGGACAGGTACAGCACAGGCAGCGACAGTGCGAGCTTTCCCCACACCACCCCGTCCATGTGCCTCAACCCTGACCTGGAGGGACCACCTCTAGAGGTGAGAGGGGATGTTCAGTCTCCAAGGCTCACTCAATCCTTCCGCCTCAGCCGAGACTGCCAACACGCGGGGGGCCAGTGACGCTGGTGATTTTTGTGCTGTGGACACCACCTGTCCACGGGGACCTGGACTGACCCCCCCACACCTCATTTCACACAGGCCGCGTAGCCCACCAGATGGTAACACCAACTCTTTTTTTTTTTTTTTTTTCTTTTTGTTCAACCCCTCTCCCCTATATCCCACTCCTCCCCCATTTTCACCTTCCCACCCCTACCTGGGTGCACTTTTGGGGGTACTGGCCACTGATGTGAGAAATCTCGTATCCTTTTAGCCAGCCACTCCTTCCTTCCCTGCCATTCCTACTCCTTGTCCTCAACCCCATTTCCCTGAAGTCCCAGCTCCTTTTTCTGAGATTATGGTGTGGGGGGAGGAGGGTGTAGTGGGAGCTGCAAGTGCCTTTTATTGAGGGGAGGTGGGAGCTGGCAGGACTTAGAAAACAGTGATTTTTTTGTGTGTTCTGTGGTTGGTTGGCTCCCTAGTACTTAGGGACTGAACTAGCTTCCAGTGCATTTAAAGGTCTTTAGGCAGATGTAGAGAAAAGTAAAATAGGGAAAGGGAAGTTTTTTAAAACATTTCATGTAGGTTTGTACAAACACAAATCATTCACAACACTGTGATTGGTAGAGGGGTTGGATGGTTTAAGGGAAGAAATCTTTTTTTCTCCCAGGCTGTATTACACCTAGGGAGAAAGAAGGGGGCTTGGTCAATCCAGGCATTGCTTAATCCCACTTCTCACATTTTCATTTAGGAACTGATGTGTATGTTGCCTTTGATTGCAGGGAACATGGCTATGGCTCCCTTTAAAGGCTTCCCAGAATAAGTCATATCTAGGGTTCAAAGAAGGCCAACTTGGGTCTGATTGTATTTGAGAGGTATCATTTACTGCCTCAATCTTGGCCTCCCCATTCTGTAGTTCAACTCTGGCTTCCTGGCTAGTTGAAATGTCTTTTTCTCCCAACTGGGTGGCTGTCCGTGATTGGTTTTTTAATAGGAACTGTTTTCCTCCTTTTGTAGGCCTATACCATTCAAGGACAGTATGCCATTCCACAGCCAGATGTAAGTTTTGTTTTCACTTCTTCTTTTGAAAAGCTCCCTTTCCCATCCCAAATTGTCTCATTCCTTTCTTCCATGTAGGCAGAAATGAGTTGGGTTTTAAAACAATTGCAATATTAAGTTGTTTTCCTCAAAAGATGAATCCCATATTTCAACCCTTAAATAATCTTTAATTGGCATAATGGCACCTTGTTTGCCTTTTGACATTTAATCTCTGGAAATTATGATGGGCAGAATATTAGTTTCTACTCTCCTGCCTGTTCCAGATTACTCTGTCTAAAAGGGAAATGTTCCATCTATTCTTTCTTTTTCTGGGCATAATTTAAATTAACAGTAGCCTGTGCATCTCTGTGTGGAGTTCTTCAATTGGGGATGGAGTGGGAGATGGTTTTGCCTTTGGGTATTCCTCAATTTGAGATAGTAATTTTTAAAGCATCCAGAGGGGTGGGAAAGAAGCTTATTTATACAGGGAGGGATAGGAAGCTGAATATTTGTGTATTAAACTCAATGGAACTTTCCTTGCCACTAAAAATTCCTATTTAAAAAGTGATGATAATCAGACTTACTTAAAGACATTTCTTTCTGCACTGTTTCTTTATCATGACTAACCCTTTTAGGTGTTGAGCATTAACTAGGAAAGTTGAGTTTGGCTCTTGGTTAGTGTTAGGGCCCAGAAGGGGAAGTATACTTGAAGAGAGATTATTTTACAACAGCCAAGACAGTTTATATACATGAAGAAAAACAGCTGTAAAAACTAGTAGTGGGGGAGGGACTCAAACCCATTTGGTTTCATCTTAATCTCCTTATAGTCTCCTTCACCCCCCACCCTTCACCCCTCATCTCCTTCCTTTTACCCGATACTGAAAGATCCCTGCATGGTGTGTTTTCCCTAGCACCACTGCACAGTTTATTTACCCAGCCTGTCTGTGCTTGTCCCTGAGGCAACTTTGGCAATGGCTGCAAGCACCTTCATTAAATAGCCTACAAGGGGATGATTGTTGGGTGGATGCTGCTGCTTTTCACACACCCAAAATGGCATTCATTTTCTTGTACTGATTCCTGTTCTAACCCTTTGTATTCTGTCTATCCCCAGAGGGTAAGACCCATCCTTACCCTCTGTTGTAATTTGAGTAGTAGAGACAACTTTGGGGATCATCAGGAGCTTTGCATTTTCAAATTTGAATGATTTTGAACCCTGGCTCTGTTAATCTTCTAATGTCAACCTCTCCTGTTTCATCCCTGCAGTTGACCAAGCTGCACCAGTTGGCAATGCAACAGTCTCATTTTCCCATGACGCATGGCAACACCGGATTCAGTGGTATGGATACCTCAGTGTTTATTTTTGTAAGGTGTAGTGCAAGACGGAGGCCAGCCCCAAGGCCTCAGTTTGGCATCTGTTTAAGACAAACTTACCCAGCATCCTGCTGGTTTAAACTTGACTATCTTCTGTGGCTAAACCAAAGGAGGTAATGTGTTTAACTGATTTTCATTTGGGATGAGTTATTCTAAAAGAAAAAATAAAAATAAAAAAAAGGCCCTTGAAGGTTTGGGGTGAAGTCAGGGGATGCTTGTCAGGCAAAGGGTAGGCTGACATTTCCTCTAACCCATTCTCATTGCTGCCCCTTTGATCTGATTGGCACCCCCTTTCTTTCCACCAGCTTTTACAGACCTGGGTAGAGACAACAATCCATTTGTGCCAAATTGTGTAGTGTTTTTGCTTTTATTTTGTTTTGTTTTGGGCTTTTTTTTTTTCTGTATAAGGAATAACTTGTCCGATAGGGTTAGGATGAGACCACCAAACTCATTTTCACTTGTATCTTAACAGGCATTGAATCCAGCTCTCCAGAGGTGAAAGGCTATTGGGGTAATGATTAAAAAAAAAATCTGTAGTATTCTACTGTTATATTAATAAACTGGTGGGAGTCTTGTTTCACTGCCCATAACATAGCAGCAACATACACATGGCAGAAAGAAGCTGAGAGAGCAAAAGGGTGGGCCTGGTGCCCCTGAGGGGTCCCTTGGTGGATCTGGCCAACCCCCTTCTAAAAGTATTGAATTTAGCAACCACAGTTGAGAGCAAGGCTAGCCTTGAGACTTAGCTAGCTGCCCTGGTCCAATCCAGGTGCCATTATAGATAGTTATGGGTGTTTGCTGATTAGATTTTTTTTCTTTTTCTTTGGAAAACAATAAAAACCAGAACAAATTAATGAGCAATTGAGCAAAAAACAGGGACTAAATCTGGAGAAATTAACTTCCCTCACCTGACTGCCATTCTCTCTGACCTTCAAATGTAGGTTAAGATATGTGTGTGGTTGGTGAGGGGAGGCACTGTTAATCTAATACAGGTATATTTAAAGCAACTCTGCATGTGTACCAAGAGTCCATGGTACCCAATAACAGGCATGATATTGGCACTGGTGCTAGTGAGCATCAGGTGAGATAAAATTGGAACACAACAGCAGGAAATTCTAAGGAAAAGGAAGTGCAGAAGGACTTGGTTAGATTTTGGTCCTGTTTAAGGATACCACATTCCCTTTCCCCTTGCTTCCGTCCCCTTACACCGTAATAGGCTGGGCTTTGCAGGAAATGGTATGAAATCAGCTCTCCTGAGTGTACAGAGGAATCTTTCCAGAATTATTTCTATACTCCTCTACCCCTCTTTACTCTTTGAGGTTTCTAAGTTAGTGATGAATCCCAACAGCCAATGCTGGGTTTCCAGTTTGTTTCCTTCTGTTAGGTTAATGTGCAAATCAGTTGAGGTTTGTAATGCTGCACATTGAATTTTCTTGCTCTCTTCTGTCTTTTAGCAGGTTTGGATGCATCTGCTCAGACTACTTCTCATGAACTCACCATTCCAAATGATGTAAGTATGGTTAGTTGGGTTGCATGGGATGAAAATAAGAATTGGTTTTAAAGAATAGAAGTCTTAGCCAGTGTCATGCCAGTTTAAGGCCTAGGGAAAGGAAATTGTTTTAGATACCGAATTAAAAACTAGAGCATCTAGAATTCTGAATAAAAATAGATGGAGAAAGTTGGTAACACTTGTTGAATATTCATGAGGCAAAGAATTTTTATATCGCAAGTAGAAATTCTTGTTTGCCTTTGTTTCTTGTAGAATCTGAAGCCTTATCCTTAAAGCAGTGGTCTTGGGTGTTTTATCTGTGCTGTTTAATATGGTACTTACTAAACACTTGTGGCTATTTAAATTAAGAAGATTAAAACATTCAATTTTTCAATCTTACTAGCCACACCACACTATAGGTACTAATAAAATGTGATTATTGAACACATCAATACTAATCACATTTTATTAGTATCTATAGTACTGGACAATGCAAATGTAGACCAATTTTTTTACTTTTTCTCAAGGCAAAAACATTAGAAATGAGCCAAAATCCAGAGTGGTAATCATGGCAGGATGAGTTTTAGATATCTATTACCCAAAAAACCAAAGATACCTTTACTAGTATTTCCAGGTTTATTATGATAAATTAGGTTTATTATCTTGGCTCTGTTTTATTTTTTCTTTGGATTTACTCTAAGAAAATGAGCTATGCTCAGTTGGCTGTGTTGGGGTCTGTAGGCTCAGTTGGCTCTGACAAAAGAATAGGTAAGAGTTGAGCACAACCTGCAACTCAATCTGGAGTACATGAGTAGAGTGTAGGATGCAGTAGTTTCCATTGCCTTGTTTATAGACCCAAGTTATAGAAGGCTGGGGGGGTGGGATGAAATTCTTGGACCTAGCCATGCTATTCCTAATTTGGTGTGCATTCTTGTTTTTCTCCCTAAAGTTGATTGGCTGCATAATCGGGCGTCAAGGCGCCAAAATCAATGAGATCCGTCAGATGTCTGGGGCGCAGATCAAAATTGCGAACCCAGTGGAAGGATCTACTGATAGGCAGGTTACCATCACTGGATCTGCTGCCAGCATCAGCCTGGCTCAATATCTAATCAATGTCAGGTAAGAGCTCCCTGCCTTTTTTGTCTTAGTGATGTCAACACACAAGTAATGTGTGTGTAGGGGAAAGCTAAGAATGTATTATTAAATGAGGAGTTATTTGGGGGATGGGAATGGGGATAGAAGGAGATGGGGGAGAAGTTTAAGTCTAGCCCTGTTTTCATCCATTTTTAGTGTAGCAGAAAAAGGAACCAGATTGGAGTAAGTTTGCATGGGATTGAAGGGGGGATAGAATGCTCAGATTTGAGTTTTGATCGTTGTGGGATGGAAAGGTTGGGAGTGTGTCTCAGTAATAGGTCAGGTGCTCTGACAGGAGCCACTCAGACTCACTCAGATGTGGGACTTTACTGTACATGCCATATAGCCCAATGTTTCTTTACTGATAGGGTGTAGGCTCCAAAGTACCCTCAATTGAAATGAGGATAATGAGGTAATATGACAGACAGCAAGGCAGTTTCTTGGGGGTAGCTATTACCTTTTATTCTGAAAACATGAATTTTTCTCAAATCACAAATGATTTTCATTGTTTAGAGCTGGGAATGCGGAGGCAAAGGTTTTGGAATATTTCAGAAATGCCTAGGTGTTTTCTCTTTCCTCTACCATCTCATTCAATAATGACTTCCAGAAATTGTAGCTTTCTTATTCAAAGCTAGCTAATGTTAACTAAATACATGATTGTAGCAAGACTATTTATAGTCCAATGGGCATCCTACAGGGCATTTAAGAAAACACCGCTTGCTTTTTCAATATTAGTGCTTATGCCACATTTTCATTGCTTACTAACATTTTCAAACCAGTGTTAGCCCATTTCCCAAGGAGCTTAGCCATCCATTTTATGTAGGTATCCTTTGTCTAGTTGCTTTTCCCCCTATAACTATTTGGTCTCTTGTGCATTCTAGTTTTGATTCTTAGTGCAAGACAAAGGAATTCATAAGTATGAATTTTATATCGTCATGCTTACACTAATCATGTATTTATTCCATGGTCTTTATTCCCTGCTTAAGAATTGATCAGTTCCTCAATAGTGGTTCTGCCCCCGCCTTTCAGTCTTTATGTCATGAGGTATTTACTAATCTTTATGTGGAAAAGACTTCTGTGTTTTTGTCTGCTCTTTTCTTCAGCTATCAATCACATCAAATTCTTAATGTTCAGAGTCAAATAATAGTAAGCTTTTCACAGAAACAGTTTACAAAGGTTTTTCTTCTTGTTTCTAGTTTGGGGTGGTTAAGTGGCAGGAATCTTGTTCTTGGAAGCTGAAGTTATTTTTTTCTTTGGTAGGTTTGCCACGAATATTGTCAGATAGTATTGAAATGAAACTTCTTGCTGACCCCCTATATTAGGTCAGTGGCTACATTGTAAGGAAGCAGAACTTAGTTTCCTGGTTTAGTTCCTCTTCATGATCATCCTATTTAATAAAACCATTTAGACTATGGATTTGGGTCAAAACCTCTTGAAGTCAACTTGAGTTAACATCAAAGCAAGGGCTCTACCTGCACACTGCTTAGTCTTCATTTTCTCATCTTATTAGCCCATTTGAATGCAACAAACTGGTTTTATTGTTAATACTAGGCAAGAAATATTTCTATGCTTTCAGTAATGGATTGTGAGCATTTCTGGCCTGATTCTGGCAGTCTGTTCCTTTATCCTCTCCTTTATGGATTGCAGCTGTCCTGGGCTTATATAATGACAAAATGGAGTCTTGGAGGAGTTCATCTTTTGGGGTGGGTTGTCCAGGCAGGCTAAAGACGTTCTGACTTAAACATGTGTAGGCATTTGGGAATTGCAGATCATTTCTGTCATTTGGAGTTATTTTAGGAGTAGAAATGGTATTTTTACTTTTTGAACATGAATTTTTTGGCAGTGCTTGAGTTCCTTCCAATTCTGTAAGATCTATATTACAAATATGGTCAATCACAAAACAACTAGTCATCCCCCCATCATAACACCTCACCAGAAATGAAGCTTCCCTACTTATCTATGTTCTCTTCTCAGCATTTTTCTTTGAAAATGCTACATTCTTTCAAGTTTGAAATTAGTCATTGACCTACTTTGGTCTCTTTCCCCTCTCCATCCTAATGTATTGGTTAGTCTGCAATGGAGATGGAAGCAAAATTTCTTAATAATTACAGGGGAGTTTTTTTATTTGTTTGTTTTTCTGTGGGTTAATATCCCAAAGCTTTACAAGTGATTGGTGGCTGAAACATTTGTTTCTTCTTTGGAGATAGAGTGCTTTCATTTTCTACTTGAAATCATTCCTTTCTGACTTCTGGGTTGGATCAATGTGTCATACATGGAAATGTGTTTCTTTTTTCAACCTATTAGCTTTTTCTTCATCATAGCAAGTTTAAATAGCACTGGGGAATGAAATTTGGTGGGTATACATTTTTAGAGGGTGGGATACAAGATAAAAGGGAGACAGCTTTGTCACAAGTTTGTATTAGGTCTTCCTAATTTGCAATCAGAAACACTGATAACTGAAGCGGTTTTTGTCCTGTACTTTTACCCTTTTGTGGTCTTCCCTTCCACCCACCCGGTTTTTTTTTGTTCCTTTTTTCCTCTGTTACAGTTTAGAAAACGCTAAACCCTCCTCCCAGGCAGCCTCCGTCACGATCCCTGATCACCTCAGCATCAACCTCTCTCAACCCTCCACCCCTTCTTCTTCTTCCTCCTCCACCACCACCCCCTCGCTCGCCACAGCGGGGACCTCCGACGCACCCTCCAGCCTCCCCAACCCTCTTCCGACCGCCCCTTGTGTCTCCAGTCTGCTTGGCATGAAACCCATCCCTCTCCTGGCTCTAAATGTTGTGTCTGCTGCTAAGGGTACCGGGGCTTCAGCTGCCACCACCACCACCTCTGCCGTGCCATGTGTAACTAACAAACTGAAAGGCGAGAAACAGAGATTCTCCCCCTACTGATTGCAGATCTTGAGGCACCCCCTCAAGTAATTCTTGGTTCATTTTGTTTTCCTTTGTTAACATTGGTGAGAAACAATTGTGAGTTTGTGACATTTCCTTTTTACTATTTGGGGGATAACTGGGTGGGGGTGGGGGCAATGGTAACGGTGTTTAGGTTTAGGCCATTTCAGCTGAGTGCCTGTTTCTGAGTCTGATTTGTTGAATATTTTATCTAGAGCCATAGTTCTTGCTCTTTCTCATTCTGTTACTTTTTTTGTAGCTTTATCCTGCCTTGCAAATATAACAATGTGTTAGGCTCTGTGTTAACGAATAAAAGATTCTCCATTAATCTTTTTATTATTATTATTATTATTATTTAATGGTTAAGTTATCAGCTGGCCTTCTTGGCCAGATTTGTGTTTCTAGCTGTAATAAAGTTGCCACAGTAAGAACCCTAGTTTACCGTGTGCTGTGAAGTGTAAAGGGGTGGGAACTTTGTGACTTGGCTTGACTAGGGAGTCTATAAAACTGACTGGACCTCTTTGTATCCCTGGTTAATTTTGTAACCCTTTGTCATTCCCCACAAAGGGAGATGGGCTTGTGGCAGATTAAATCCAGAGGGTCTTCCATAATTGGCAAGTTTACTTAGTGAAAATTAGTTTTCTCTGATTTCTCAGATCCTTTACCTTGCCAAAAGCAGCAAGTAACCAGGGGTGTCCATCCCAGGCTTTTTCTGTTGATGAGTGGCTACTCAAACAAGTTATTTCTTTACCCAGAATGGGGAGGCAAGTTTGTTTTAAGTCTCAAAGTTTGCCAGCATGTCTGCATTCCTCTGAGATAGCATTAGTCCTTTTCCTATGACATTGAGTAAATCTTAAAACCACCAACATGTGACATCTCCACAAATTTGATAGGATTCTGTCCAGTCATCCTAAATCATCCCTAATTTATTCAAATATCTTTTTTTCTATTCCTTGTTTACCCTTCTGTTTCCCACCAACCCCCTTATTTATCATGTGTAGAAAATTATAAACTTAAATTTGGAAGGAACCATTAATAATCAGCTGTAATTCATCAATCTCATTTATCAAGGTTAAAAAAAAAAATAGAAACCCTAAAAAAAAAAAGAAAACTTAAGTCTGCAAATCACATGGATGACTAGTGAGGACTAACAACTCAAAATGCATTTAATCTCCTGAAGCCTTATTATTTTTCTTATCCAAACCATAGTTCTCTCCTTAAAAGGGTAGAAATACTGTAGGTATAATGGCAAAAGCCATCGAGTAGGATTACATTCTACCTGAATACATATTGCAGAACCAATGAAAGTATAATGTTCTTCCCAAAGCACCAGTGTAGAGGATTTTCCCCTGATAACCTTTTCCCACATTCCCTTTTTTATTTTTGCTTTAATCTTCACTCCTTGGGGATTAGATTTCCCCCTGTAATTCTAGAGAATGGAAGGGAAAGGGGTAAGGAGAAACATTGATGTGACATTGATTGGTTGCCTCCCCACAAGTGCCCGACTCGGAGCAGGGGGATTGGACCTGCAACCCAGGTACATGCTCTTGAGTAGGAATTGAACCTGAGACCCTCTGATGTACAGGCTGATGCTCTTAACCATTCAGTTATGCTAGGCAGGGTCCCTTTGGTTTATGTTATAGTGTTAAAACCAATTGCTGATGAGTATTGCAATATATTACATTGATGGTGTGGCCCTCAATCCCATATTGGGCCAATGACTTTGTTTTACATGGGATGGGAGGGGCAAACATTAGTTAATTGTCCAGATAGACTTTTTCTTGTTAGTTGCTCTAGCTGCTCCTTTATCATATAGTCCAGTTCTCCCTTAGGTAAGCTCTTTTTGTAGTTTGGACTTAATCTTGCTGATAATCATCCCCCCTCCTCTCCCCTCCAGGTACTGGTTTTATTTTATCTAGTTCTCAATTGGAAGGCCTCTTCACCTGATGAGTTCTTCCTAAGGAAAGATTGCTAGGAAGGAATCTACATTTTAAGGGGCTGACTACCATCACATGGAGTCCTCAATATTTTTGTTGGGTTTCCTATTCCTTGTCCCCCTTATACCTGCTCCTTCCAATCTGCTCAAGCTATGTGCATGAACAGTTCCTTTAGTGACAAAGTGCCACCACCTTTATGCATCAATTTAATTTTTTAGGTCCTAGATCTAAACTCTTGAGCAATTCCTCCCTAAACTTTGATTCAGGGCCTGTTGTGTACATTACTCTAGATATTCCATTTTGGCATTATCAAGGTTCTATCCTCTTTAAGAACAAAATATTCTCCTTTATACCTAGTAGAAATACCATTTCTGACTAAAATACTAATTCCTAGTTGAAAGACCCATCTATTTTGGCCTTGGTTTTTCTTGCTTCTAGCCAGCTGGCCAGCTGTTGGGCTTTCATTGTGGTAGAAGAGATACAGATGCTCCCTTGACTTAGGCAAGTCATTTTAAAGTCTATGAAATACATTTATGAACTGAAACTTCAGTTATAACATTTAGTTCTCTTTGAAATGGAATCTAAGTCTTTGCTGGCTGCCTAATATCAGTGAAGCAGCCAAATGCCTACATAACTCCTTCAAAGCCCGAAATTGGACTCCAGGGCTGCAAATGATGTTTTCAAAGGAATTATAGCCAGGTATGTTTGTCTTAAGAACACAGATTTGGGAGCTTATAGAGTTGCTAAAACAAATTATTTCAGCTTTCACCTTTAAGTTGTGAAAACCATAGAAACTATAGGTTGAGTATAATTCTTGACCCTTCCTATACTTGTTACCTGTTTGACATCTCTTAGCGTTTGAAACTTCATTATCTCTTAATAGTTAATAATGGCCTTTATTGATAGAGAAACCCAGGACTGTTCTAGAAAAAAAGCTGTTTCAGCACTAGCTTTGTAAGGCTACTTTTGCTAAGTGTTTCCTAAATTATTCTGAGGATTGGAAATAAGCTCGGCAATAAAGAGACATTGCTTCTGTGATTTGTGACTTGAAGAAGATACTTTACTGTCATGGTGTACTTCTATAAAGTGTTTAACATCCCCCACAAAGGTTCTGGAGGAACATAGTTTGAGGGATGCCCACACTTGGTAACCAAGACTTCTCAGTTTCCTTTGATTCTGAGGTAACTTCCCCTCATGAAGTTTCTTCGATTGCAGGGGTTACAGGCACATGGTACTGGTTAATTCAAAAAACCTTGTTACTGAACCACTGATTGTTTCACATAAACTCTACTTCACAGTTCACCAACCAATCAGGTTGGAAAATTTGGAGTTGAGGTGCAGCTGAGCATTTAAAAAAACTAACTTTGAGTCTTGTTTTGTGTTACAGGCTTTCTTCGGAGACGGGTGGCATGGGGAGCAGCTAGAACAATGCAGATTCATCCATAACCCCTTTCTGCTGTTCACCACCACCCATGATCCATCTGTGTAGTTTCTGAACAGTCAGCGATTCCAGGTTTTAAATAGTTTGTAAATTTTCAGTTTCTACACACTTTATCATCCACTCATGATTTTTTAATTAAAGCGTTTTAATTCCTTTCTCTGTTCAGCTGTTAATGCTGAGATCCATATTTAGTTTTATAAGCTTCTCCCTGTTGTTTTTTTGTTTTGTTTTGTTTTTTTTGGCTCATGAAATTTTTTTTGTTTGTCATGGAAATGTAAGAGTGGAATATTAATACATTTCAGTTTAGTTCTGTAACGTCAGGAATTTTTCAAAAAAATTAAAAGATGGACTGGAGCTTTTTCTTTGTGAATAGAAACTGGATTCCACAGTGATTCATGTGGGTTTTATTCCTGTTGTCTTGCTGTTATTTTTGCACCTTTTATCCCTCAAAGGACAAGGACCCTGCTTGGGTTTTGAATATAAGCATTTATTCCAGTTAAGATGTTTTCTTCTGTTTTACCACTCCATTCTTATTTATTTCAGTAGCCCTTGATTAGATTTTCTCTTGAGCCTGCATTGAAAGGTGATCTAGTAGCTGTGCCCTTAATTTCAAAGGTTGGGGGTTACATTTTCCTATGATTTATCTGTAAATAGGCAGTCACCTGGGGGTTGGGTTGTGGGAAAGGATGCACATGCATACACCTGGAAGCTGTTGACTGGCTGGGATTCAGGTTGCAAGATGGAGTATTTTAAGATCTGCCTCCTAACATCCTTTAGTTACCTGCTCCCATTTATGCAGATAAGTTTAGAAGGTTGGAGCTTCAAGTGATGTTCATTTAGAGAGAAGAGCATAAAAGGAGGAAGTAATTTTTCCACAGCCCTCAGATAATGTCTGGAGCCCAAGGCTTCTCTTTGATCATGTATGCTACCTCATTCACTCACCAAGAAAACCCTCGACAGCTGGGCCTGCTTGGAGTGGTTATATTTCAAGGTTTTTCACAGGGGTTACAATAGGACAGTTTCCACCCCAATCAGGCACCAAAGTAAAAGCAGGGACTTAAGATCCCAATTCTTCAGCATGAGCCATCACATGCTTGTACAATCTTCTAACCTCCCCCTAGACCTTAAGTCAGTGCTTGGGCAGAGAAATGAAGAAACAAATTAGTTACATTGCACCTGATAAACCTCAAAAGAGAGGAGCCAGCCTTAGCCTCCCTCCTCCCACGTGCAAAATGTGTAAACAGTAAATGGAAAACAAAAAAGTGCAGTTAAGTGGCTCCCTTTCCTTCTCCCTGGTATTTGGGGGGAAAGGGTAGAGGATCATAGGAGGCAAGTTGGGCTTTGCTGCTGCCTGACTGCTTGTTGGACATGACCGGGGAAGCAGGGAGGGCCCGCTTGCCCTACCCACAGATCCGGGCAGTCCTTGTTCTTCATTCCACAGCTGCCAGTTAGGTGAATTGGTCAGGGGGTCAGGCTCTTGAGCCTGACTTGAGGCTGGGATAGCCCTATCTTCCTCTGTTGATTATGTGGCGCATATATATATTATTTATATAAATACTCCTATGTACAAGAACAAGAGTGGCTTCATGGAGGGAGGGAGGCTGGGGGCTGCAAGGCGTCACCACTGTTGGGGTTGTCCAGTTCAGTGCTGTCACAGTCCGAGTCCTCGGGATTGGGAGGGCCCTGTTAAAGTAGACATGCAAGGAGGGGTGAGGCTCAGAATCTCTCGTATTGTAGATTTCTTTAGGATCCCTTACTGAAATCTTTGTTACAATAGCCAGCAACTTACTGCTTTTTACTCTCCCCAGATTTTGTTGTTCAGGCCATTCTCCAAAGTACAAGACTCCTAATTTCAGGATTCCTCCCTTGTTGCAATGTCTGGCTACTATGTAAGCTAGCCTACTAAAAATTGCCTTCATTCCACCATGTGGATACTGCTCTTTAGTACCGGTGAAAACAGGTTCAGATAGAGTGACTTAAATGCAAAAATCTTCTTATCTCTGCATCTATTTCCCCAGTAGGTCTCAAATGAGCAGTATCTCTTCCCTGCCCAATACTGGCTGTTTCTGTTACTCACCTGCTCCCCCTTGAGTAGGTCATGGTGCTGGATGGGCAAGGAGGGTGCAGGGCCTGCAACCACCTCTGTAGCAGGTTGGTCTAGTGGGATTTCTGATCCCTGGGAGCACATGTCATCAGACCGTTCATCTGGCCGCTCATCAGTGTTGGTACTGCCAACATCAGGTGTGCCACTGGGGGATGGCTCACTAGCTGTGCCTTCCTCCCCATCTGATGGATTCTCTGAGCTGAAGGCAGAAAGTGACTGGCGCATGTTCAGGCCCTGAGGCCACCTATAGGTCAGCGAGACACCTTCGGCTTGACTGCGCTTCTTGCAGCCCAGGAAGCAAAAGAATGTCATTACTTGTGCTCCATCACTCACCTCTGGCTTGATGTCAGCTCTACTTCACTGTCTACTTCTCCTTCCTCTTCCTCGGATGATATGCCACGTTTCTGTAGGAGAGAGAAATAGACTCAGGAATAGATTCGTCAAAAGTGGAAAGAGGCATTGGGCCCAGGGAAGGGGGACATAAAGCATTAAGTAGGGGATGGCTGAAGATAAAGAGCCTAATGTGGGAGGTGAGTCAGTGGGTTTGGAGCCCAGGGAGAAAAAGAACCCAGAACCCTCATACTTTACCTGACTTCTGGTGACAGCAGCCCTGTACAGCAGTGCAGCTGGGGTCAAGTGCTGGGACCCAGCCCGGCTTCCTCCCCGTCCCGCCGTCCCTTCCCTTCCAGTTCCCAGCAGCCCCGCGCCATCACCAGGCCCTACTGGTGGAGGTGGCTCCCCTTTGGCTCCCCCAGGTGAATCTGGGCTGGTGGAGCCGGGTGCTGAGCCCTCACTTGGAGGGGTGTCACCCCGGGCGGGAGGTGGTGAGCCAGGATCCCCCGTTTCCCCTGAGGCCCCCCGGGCCCGGGCTCCCAGTGCTGCTGACAGCAGATCTGGGGATGAAGAGGACATCTTTCGCAGCAGGAGGTCGTGATGGAGCCCACGGAGGGCTGGAGGGCAGGCTTCCCAGGCGGAGGGTCCCCCTCCTAGCACCCCTGGGCTTCCTGGTCCCCCAGGTTCATGGGGTGGCACAGCTGCACGAAGCCCAGGCAGGTCCCCACAGCTGCCCTTGGCACTGGCTTTGCGATGACGGGTCTTGCCACGGCGATTCCGTCCTGGTGAGGGGGGACCCTTAGGACACCCAGGAAGACCCACCCCACTCAGGGCTGCATCTAGTTTTGGTAGCAAAGACTCAGTCTTGAGGATATCTGGCCTGGTGGGAGAGGGGAAGGACAAGTTTGAGATTAACAAATTTATCAACTGAAAGCATTCCCTAACCTTGGGCAGTACACAAAGCACTTCTCTCCCCTTCCTAAACACAGTACCAGTCTTCCTGGCATCCTTGACTCCTACTCCCTGCTTCTGCATCCCTCTTGCCAATTTTGAATCTCAGCACTTAACTCTGGTCTCACCTTTTGCTGTGGGGTGACAGCTTCTGTGGAACATTCCTCTTCTTGATAAGCTTCTCCATTGTGTTCCCGTGCAGGAGGCCCCGCGAAGGGTGTGACTTCAGCAGACCTGGGCACCTCCGCTCTAAAGCTTGTTCCCTCCTAAAGACACAGCACTTCAGTTTGGCACGTGGCCACGAAGGGGGGCCCAGGCTTGGTAGCATGTGAGTCAGGCACAGCTTCAGGAAAGGAGGATTAGGGTTGTGTAAGGGCCGCATGGTTACCTGAGGAGCTCCCGCTCCTTAAGCTCCAATTGCAACATAAGGGCATTGAGTTCCATGTACAGGTTGTTGGCTCTCTCCAGCTTCCGTTCATAGTGTTCCCTGATGTCCAAGGCGTGTCTGCAATGGGCAGAAGGGTCCCTGAGGTTAGCTGGCCTCCCTGGCTGCCATAGTTGATCCCAGTCCCTGAGAACTGGTCCACGGTCCCTGCTGTTGCTGAAATCCCCTTTCCAAACAGGCACACACCTGAGCTCCTCCCTCCTCCGCATCACCAGCTCCTCTTCGAGGCGGTGCAGACATGTCCCTTCTGACTTAATTTTTTCAAAGTGCAGCTTTACCTCTTCACGCCACTCTGCCTGGGGGTGGAGAAATAATGAGGGGTGAGGAACATAGGAGTGAAGTACATGATTGACCAACACCAGGTCTCAGCCTCTAAAGCACATTTATCCCATCCCAATCATCCCTTCCCAGCCTCCCTGAAGAGGGAGCCCAGGTGTTCATTTTCCTCCCCCAGCACACCTGGGACTTAAAGTAAGTCTCCTGGGGTGTGGAAAGGACATCTGCTGACGCAATGTCTAGATGTAGCAGGATCTGTCGGAATGATGGACGATTTCGTGGTTTGCTGTTCCTGGAGGCATTAAAGGGGATTTGAGGGAGGGCCAGAGAGGAATTAGGACATTCTTTTTCAATGTCCTAATAATGAACCCAATCCTAGAATGTACTCTGATAAAAGAATTCCCTATTCAACTATGTCTAAGAAATGTTACCTGTTAGCATAGCAAAGCCCTGCAGTAAGCAAACCTATTCATTTTCAACTTGCTTGCCAAAACAAACCTTTTCCCTAATGACTCCGTTAAAAGAAACACACTTTGGGAAATGTTTAACCAAAGATTAGAAATGTTCAACCTTCCTTTAGGTCTAGGTTCCAAATAAGGGACCAGGGCTCTTCCTGCTGTGTTCTAAAAATTGTAGAGCTTGCCCATGGCCAAAGAAAGCCTGTGTGGCTTTGAATCTAATGCGCTCCCGCAGATTACCGGTTAATCCATCTCTCATTTCTACAGTGCAGTTCCCTGGATTCACGGTCTGAATCCTGGGGTTTTCAAAAGCCATATATGGCAACTCTCCTTTTCCCTATCCAGGATTCTGGGCCCGAATGCCTGGCCTCTATATGCTGGTTAACCAGCAATACCCCTTAGCTTCCCAGCTTTGCAGGCCACTCTTACCAGCACTGGCGAAGCAGGATTTTGAAGCCATCTGGGCAGCTGGAGGGCACAGGCAGATGAAGACTGTTGCTCCCCACACCCCAGATGATGGCTGAGGAATCTACATCTTTGTAGGGAATCTCACCAGTCAGCAGTTCCCATAGCACCACACCAAAGGACCTGGGGAGAAGAGGGGACATCACTTGGGAGGAGTTCTCTCCAAAGGACCTACTTGCTACCAACACATCTCACTTGCACTCAGGCCCGGAAACCCTCCTCCCTCCCACACTCCCTATGCTGGCCACCTGCTACCCTCAGTCCTCAGCCTGGCCCTCACCAGATGTCGACCTTCTCAGACACAGGCTCGTTACGAATCACTTCAGGGGCCATCCAGGCTACTGTGCCTGCAAAGGACATCTTGGTGCTCTTGTCACTCAACTCCTTGGAAGTGCCAAAATCGGAGATCTTCACCACATCGTCGTACGTGATTAGCATGCTGGCAAAGAGTGTAGTCAGCTGGGGTCCAGGCCCCTACACACCCCTCATCCAGTGCAGCAACTCTACTTTTCTGTTAAATCCATTGGGACACCCAGGGGCTCACCACAACCCTCCCGAGATAGGACTGTCACGGGGAGGGGTTCTGAGATGGCTGCACGGACGTAGGACAGGGTCTGGAAGCAGGGAGATGGCTACACTGACGTGGGTGGCATTATCTGCAGGAGACCATGCACGTCAGTGTCTCCCCGCTTGCTTACTCACTTGGGGGACTTGAGGTCTCTGTGGATAATCTTGTGCAGGTGCAGGTAGTTCATGCCACCAGCGATGCCCATGGACCAGTCAACCAGCAAGGAAGGGGTGACAGGGCGGCCAGCCCGCAGTACCTCATACAGCTGGCCCTGGGCGCAGAACTCCATGAGGATACAGTAGCAGGGAGCCTGGGTGCACACACCCCTGGGGACCAAACAGCAGTATGAACCAGCCCAGTATACCTGGAACCTCATTCCCACCATGCCATTTGGGTGTCTCCTTTAAAAAAGGATAGGGTAGCCCCAGCTGGTTTGGCTCAGTGGATAGAGTGTTGGCCTATGGACTGAAGGGTCCCAGGTTCGATTCCAGTTGGGCACATGCCCAGGTTGCCTACTTGGTCCCCAATGGGGGGAGCGTGCAGGAGGCAGCCGATCAGTGATTCTCATCATTGATGTTTCTATTTCTCCTCCCTTCCTCTCTAAAATCAATAAAAATATATTTTAGAAAATAAAAATAAAAAATAAATTAAAAGGGTAAAGTAGCCCGGCTGGTGCGAGTCAGTGGTTGAGCCTCAACCCATGAACCAGGAGGTCAGGGCATCTGCCCATGTTGCAGGCTTGGTCCCTAGTAGGGGACATGGAGGAGGCAGTCAACGATTCTGATCATTGATGTTTCTATTTCCTCTCTGAAATCAATCAAAAAAAAGAAAAAAGGGTAGGATAGCCCAGTGTAGCACAATCGATTGGAGTGTCATCTTGTGCACCAAAGGGTAGCAGGTTCAATTCTGGGTTGTGGGTTCAATCCCCAGTGAGGTCACATCCAGGAGGCAATTGACCACTGTTTCCCTCATGATATTTCTCTCCCTCATACCAATAAAAATATATCCTCAGGAGAGGATTAAAAACATTTATAAAAATATTTTTTAGCTGAGACCGGTTTGGCTCAGTGGATAGAGCGTCGGCCTGCAGACTGAAAGGTCCTGAGTTTGATTCCGGTCAAGGGCATGTACCTTGGTTGTGGGCACATCCCCAGTAGGGGTGGTGCAAGAGGCAGCTGATCGATGATTCTCTCTCATCGATGTTTCTGATTATCCCTCTCTCTTCCTCTCTGTAAAACATCAATAAAATATATTTAAAAAAATTTTTTTTAGCCAAAACCTGTTTGGCTCAGTGGATAGAGTATCGGACTGCTGACTGAAAGATCCCAGGTTAGATTCTGGTCAAGGGCATGTGCCTTGGTTGCAGGCACATCCTCTGCAACCAAGGGGGTGGTGTGCAGGAGGCAGCTGATTCATGATTCTCTCCTCGATGTTTCTAACTTTCTATCCCTCTCTCTTCCTTTCTGAAAAAATCAATAAAATATATTAAAAAAAATTTTTTTTTAAAGTAAATAAACAGGGTGGGGAAGATCCCTGCTGCCCAAGGAGATCTCTGCCCTCAGCATAGTATTCCCAACCCCTGCCCTGAACCTTACTTGAAAGTGATGATGTTGGGGTGCTTTAGCTTTCGCAGGTGCTTGATATCAGTCTCTTTCAGGTCCCGTACCTTCTTCACAGCCACCTCTTCCCCATGGAAACGCCCCAGGAAGACAGCACCCTGGGCCCCGGAGCCCACCCACTGCAGATCCAGGATTTCCTCAAAGGGGACCTCCCAAGGGTCTGTGGGCAGGAGGTACAGTGTCACAAGGTTCAGAGAGAGCCACCCTCAGGGCTGTGTGATGGTCAGGCACAGGGGCAAGGACTGGGTTAGCTGAAATGACTCAAGGAGGGTGAGGCCAAGAAGTAGCCAAAAATAGGTCACAAAGACTAGGTTTGTGGGGACAGGGAATGCGGTGAATGGTTGGCCTAAAAAAAAAAGCCAGGGCCGAGACCGGTTTGGCTCAATGGATAGAGCGTCGGCTTGGGGACTGGAGGGTCCTGGGTTCAATTCTGGTCGAGGTCATGTACCTTGGTTGCGGGCATATCTCCAGTAGGGGGTGTGCAAGAGGCAGCTGATCGATGACTCTCATCGATGTTTCTAACTATCTCTCTCCCTTCTTCTCTGTGCAAAATCAAAAAAATATATTAAAAAAAAAAAAAAAAAAAAAGCCGGGAAATCGGTAGCTGATGGATGGATAAGGAGCTTGGGTCAACAGGTGAGTTAGATGGGACTGTCCAACGGATCTCAAGCTCGGGGAAACAGGGAGAGTCCTGGAGGACAAAGTGGGCAAAGCCTACCTTCCTGCTGCTGCTTGTGCTCCGTGGAGTAGGCTTTGCCGATCATGGTCCAGACGGGGCGCAGGCAGCCGAACAGGCCTTCCAGGAAGCCGCTGCCGCTCTGGCACTGCAGCCGCACCTCGTCTGCGCGAACTCTGGGCACCCGACTCTCAGGGGACCCAGCGGCTCCCCCTGGGCCTCCTGCATCCTGCTCATGTAGCTGCAGGACACTGTTGGCAAAAGGCTCAGGAGGTGGCTCTCCACCTGGGGAGGGGCTGGGGCCACCCCCGCCCTGCCCACCCAGTGGCACTACGTCTCGAAGCACACACTGGGTAGGCGTCAGGTCTTTCTCAGGGGTGCAGTCAGAAGTGTCTGGGTCCAGCTTGCGCATGGACGCCTCGCTTAGGGTGGACACGAAACCCCCAAAGGAAGGGGAGGGTGTGCGGGTCTCGTGGAGGCAGGCCATGGCCTCTAGGCCCCAGTGTGGCGGTGAGCGATGGGCCCTATAGGAACAGAGGAGGGAGAAATGGTCAGAGCCACAGGCACATCAGCTCAGAATGTTCACTCTACAGTCACAGGCACAAGCTGGGGAGCTGGGCTCCCCACAGGATACAACATTAGAGTCTCACCGCCAGGTACCCCTCCACCCCCTTCGCAAGTTTCACCTTAGGGACCCATCTTAGGGAACCTGATACACAGGCTTCCACTGAAGTGTCTGTTAGTAACACAAGTCTGAGAATGGTACTCAGGTAGACAGGTAACATACCCGAGTATCATTCTCAGGTAGACACATGCCCTGCTCAGACACTAAGTAAAATATATCTCAAGTTCAAGTATTATGGTACCAGACTAGTCCTTTCTCCCGGTAAGATGACTGTAATTTGCTTTAGGAGCACATAATTCTTTCACTTGAGGTTCACATGCCCACACGCGTCATGTAGGGGTCTCAGATATATACACCTTTTGAGTCTCAACCGTAGGCCCCAGCACTTCCACAGGTGACAGTGATGACACTCAGCACCCTCCGGTGACATTCCTGGGCCTCACGCTCGCGTACTTACACACGACACAGTGAGGCAGCAGCAGAAACACTAAACTCAGGTGAGAGTGTCCGGAGGCTCAGAGCTCACCTCTGGTCTCCCGTGAGGGTGCTCAGAGTACACACTTGGGCCTCCAGGCACGTGAAGGCAGTAACCAGTCAACTCCACTGTCTCCCCAGCACAGGTGGGGAACAAGGCAGAACCATTCAATGGGGGTGAGAAGCTGTACCTGCTGTGTCAGGACCAGCTGCAGCCTACTGCGTCACCCTGCTCAGCAGAACCCCCATCAGTCCAGCTTCTCCCCCCGGGGGCCAGTTAGAGGAGACCCTGTTTCCTCTTTCTCCAGACCCTCATTCCTGGATTCCCAAACCAACACCCAGCTTTCTAGACAAGGAAGATATGTCCCAACCCATAGCTGGATGCTGCATAAGCAGTCATTAAGAACTCTGAATCCTGGCCTTGCTTCTGCCACTTACTGGCTGTGTGACTTCAGGCAAAGCTGTATTTGAGCCTGTTTCTCCAACTGTTTACAAAGGGCAAACTAGCTGTCATCCAGGCACAGCCAGTTCTGCATCCTATACCAAACTTGTCCAGAGCTTGACACGGGTTCATTCTAGTTGCCCGTCTCCTTCCACATCCAGTCGGTTAACCAAATCCTGTGACATGAAGGTTCCTGAGGACAGCAGTCCTCACTGTTCCTTCGCCCTCTGCCCCAGAACCTGAGTCCCCTCAGGAGAGGGATGTCAGGAATCTCCACATAGAAAAGGCTCACTGATAACGATGCAGACCAACATGGATGCCTGGCATCTCAGCTCCTGTAACATTTAATTTCCAGGCCTCTCTCAGCCTTTCTCAGAGGGTGTGTTGGACCCAGAATCTGTGTATGGAACAAGCACCTCAGACACAGTTAAAAAGTTCTGACCCAATGCCATTCTACTCTCTCTTCTCAACTCCCGCTTTACTACTTGATTCAGGCCTTGTTAGCTGTGTCACCTGACCCAGAACAACTGCCTCTTAAATGGTTTCCAAGGTCTTCCAAAGCCCCCGCCCCCTGAGCCCATTCTCCACCAGCCTTTAAAATACTCTTTTTCTCTTTTTAAATCCTCACCCAAGGATATATTTACTGATTTGAGAAAGAGAGAGAGAGGAAGGGAAGAAGGAGAGAAATATTGATGGGATGCCTTCTGTACCCACCCTGACAGGGGATGGAGCTGAAAACCCAGGTATGTGCTCCGAACTGAAGTCAGAGGCTGCTCCAAACGAAAAGTTGGCTAGCAACCCCCCTTCTGCTTCAAACCCTTCGGTGCGCTCCCTGCCTTACCCTTCCAGTCATCTCCCACTGCTATGGGTGCCCGCCCAGGCCATACAGAACTGGGTCAAGAATGGCTGACTCTCATGGAAGGCTTACTATATATGCTAGCCTCTGTCATGGTCACATTAGCTCGTTTAATACTCAAAGCTCCATGGGAGGCATCTTTTGCCCATTTGACAGGTATTATTAAATAACCTGCCCAGGAAGCTGAGCTAGGAAAAGGCTCAGAATCGGTCCCCAGGTGTGCTCTCGAGCCGAATCTCTTGCTCTCCCATCTCACTTCCCCCGGAAGCCTTCCTCCCGGTCCCTGCTGCTGCGGCCCAGTCCCCTGCGCTTCTGTCATGGCTCCCATTCCCCGGCCGCATGCGATGGGGCTCCTCTGAGAGCAGGATTCCGCCTGGGCTCCGTCCAGGGCTCAGGCAGCACCCGGCGGGCAGGCAGGCGCTCAGCGAGACGGGGCCGCTGCTTTCCTAGCCGCAGAGGAAGGCCTTAGGGCTGCACCCACACCACCCATCATCAGAGCCGGCCAGCGAAGGAAATACCACCACTGGCCCCTGTATATTCCTGAGAAAGCAGGCGCAGAGAGCTGAAATCAGGCAGGTCCAGCCTCTGAGTCCCCATCACATCCCACGACATGAGCGCCTTCAAGGGGTTAGATGCAAATGGCACCACCATGCAAACGACAAACATGGCCAAGTAACAAGCCCGAATCCCCCCGGAGGATCTGCGGCTTCCCTTCCGGACCCCGGAGGAGACAGGCGGGCTCCTCGGCAGGCGGCGGGGCCGGGCGGCGGGTCGGCGCGTGGGGAGGAGCGGGACCACCTGCGGGCCCGGAGAAGCCTCAGCGGAGGCCCATCGAGGCGGAGAGGAAGGGGTTACCGGCCCATCACCCCCACCCCTTCCCGGCCATCACGTGCCGCGTGGCTGGGGGGGGGGGGGCGACGGCAGCGGAAGGGGGGGTCCGGGTCGGGAAGGGGGAGACAAGTTGGGGAAAGCGCTGGGCGATGCGGCGTAACCATGACGACTGGGCCCGAGGCGGCGCGTGAAGTCACCGGGACCAGATTAGCCCGGGGTCACGTGAGCTGCGGCGGCGGGGGAGGGGCTGCGCTCGGCCCCGCCCCCCGGCCCGGCGGCCCACGTGCAGCGCCGGCGGCTCCGGTGCACCTGCCCGACCCCAAGCCCCTGCACCCCTCATGCAGACCCCGGGCGGGGCGCGAGCAGAGGGAGCCTGACGCTGGACATGCACCGAGTTCGGCATCGGGGGTGCAGGGCCACAGAGAAAGCAGGAAATCGGGAGAATAAACACAGAAAGGACAAACAGGCACAGCCGGAGAGGGAGGGACAAGTTGAGATACAAAGACAGAAACAGCGTGAAGTCAGAAGAGTCAAACCTGAGAAGAATGGGTTGAAAAACTGATTTTGAAAAGCAGACAAGACACGGAGGAAAAGGGACTGACGGAAGAACAGAATGATTGGTTTTCTGTTTAGAAGCGGAGCCTTGAGTAGGCACAACACCTGGCTTTAAAAAGGAAACTGTCTGCCTTCATTTGGCGTTTGGCAGCTAAGAGGTTCAGGCCTGAGAGGGTGACATGAAGCCCAGCCTCTCTCCAGTTCCCCGGGGCTTCCCCAGAGAGGCCGCTGGTATCCAGGGCCAGCAGCTGGGGAGAGGAGAGAAGCCATTTCACCTGTTTGTCTTTAGGGCGGTGGGAGCAGCTGAAGAAAAAGATGGGACTGAGGGAAAGGGAGGGAATCTATCCAGGCTCAGCCCACCCTCACCCTATTCTCAGGCTCATGACAACTCTTCCAGACGGACCTGAGGGGGTGAGGCTCCAGGGAGCTGTTGTAAATGGCACCCCCCTTTCCTTTCTCTCTGACCTGCCAGCTGTGCCTCACTGCTCCCCATCCCCCTGCCGCAGCTGGGCCTTGGAGCCAGGGCTTTGGGGGGATGTGGCTGGGAACCCCTGGCGCAGACATTTGGTCACCTGGGAGAGGGGAGCCGTCTCCCCACACATCAATTATGCAGAGCATGGGGGAAGGGCAGGGATGTGACAGGAGTGAGTGGATGTGTCAGTCATCTGTCCACCATATTTATCAAGTGCTTACTGTGCAGAACTCTGTCCCAGATTGGGTGAGGGGACAGAGTGGCCCCTAAGCTATACATCTTCCAGGGTAAGAGGCTTTTTGGACATCCTGACACCCAGTTTCAGCTACCAGATTCTCTGCTTGGGTGCTGGTTCCCAGAGTGCCTCTTCAGGAGGCTGTATAAGTGGAGTGAAGGCAGCTGAAGCCGGTTTGGCTCAGTGGTAGAGCATCAGTCTGCGGACTGAGGGGTCCAAGGTTCGATTCCGGTCAAGGGCATGTACATTGGTTGCAGGCACATCCCCGGTAGGGGGTGTGCAAGAGGCAGCTGGTCGATGTTTCTCTCATCGACGTTTCTGGCTCTCTATCCCTCTCCCTTCCTCTCTGTAAAAAATCAATAAAATATATTAAAAAAAAAAAAAAAGTGGGGTGAAGGCAGGGAATACCCTCTCCACCCTTTAATTTTTCTTCCCAGGTTCTCCAGCCTGAGGTGCTGGTGGCCCGTGGCAAGGAAACCCTTTGAATTCTTTCTTGGTTCTTCCTAACAGCATCGTCTCAGTGCCAAGCTGCTTATCTGGCTGTCGTGGAGGCTCAGTTGCGAGGCAATGCCATCTAAAAGTTGGGTGTTCACACCGAGCCACTTGTTCTGGCCTTCACTTGGCACTGAGGAAGAGGAGGGAGATTCCCCTTCTTTCTTGAGTGGGGGTGGGAAGGGAGGCCTTCATGGGGAAAGAAGATCCAAGACTTGCTGTAACCGGTTTGGCTCAGTGGATAGAGCATCGGCCTGGGGACTGAAAGGTCCCAGGTTCGGTTCCGGTCAAGGGCATGTACCTTGGTTGCAGGCACATCCCCAGTGGGGGGTGTGCAAGAGGCAGCTGGTCAATGATTCTCTCTTGTTGATGTTTCTAACTATCCCTCTCTTTTCCTCTCTGTAAAAAATCAATAATATATATATATATATATATATATATATATATATATATATATATATATAAAAGAAGATCCAAGACCGGAAGGCTAGTTTCACCTCTGCAG